TCCGCCCACTTCTTTTCCTTCTCAGCAGGAAAATTCCATTATTATTTTTTTCCCCTAGAGATTTTTTTCTGTAGCCACCATACCAACGCCTCTAAAGTGATCGTCTTCACCTCAAGAGGCGGGTGAGGGAGGGGGGGGAAAGAAAAATCTGCTTTCTCCTCTGGAGATACTCTGGAGAAACCCTATTCTGTGCCCATAAACGGGAGATAGTAGGTGGAGGAGGAAGCGGGGGCGAGGAGAGGATTTCTCAGAAAGTCCAGATTTTAATTGCCCCCCCCTTCCCTCTTAATGTCTCAGGAGACGTCAAATCCCCAGCCGGCAACTTGCGACGGAGAGAAGGGGAGAAATTGCAAAAAGATTCAAGACAAGAAGCAAAATTGCACACAGGGGTATGTGTCTCTGTGTGTGTGTGTAACGCAATAGTCTCAGCCACTTTCATTGGCTGGCGGTGTCTGGGGAGCAAAGGGAAACGACACAAGTGTTGGAAGTCGGGGCTCAACTCTGCAAAACCGTATAATTAAAGCGCGCAAGACATGCTGGAGTGCCTTTTTGACTCCTACGATTAAACATTTCTCACCACCCGAAGAAAATCTGAAAGGTTAAAGTTTCATCCAGCACGGAGTTGAATTTTCTCATTGTACCCAAAGCAGGGATTTCTCAAAAGGTTTTATTTTTATTTTTATTATTTTCCCCTGGCTGTCAAATCGCATCTTGCCTGCAGCTGAAGGATCATCCTGAAACTCGGTTTAAAGATGGAGAAGTCACCCAAAAGAGGGTTTATGAAGATTGGTTTCGAGACCCCAGATGGGCCGAAGATTAGTTTGGATGGGTTCACGCAAAAAGGACACGCTATAGATTGGGAGAAATATAAATGTAGATTAAATATAAATGTAAATTAAAGGGGGGCTCCATCACTGGAGGCTTTTAAGAAGAGACTGGACAGCAATTTGTCTGAAATGGTATAGTGCAGTGATGGCTAACCTTTTCTGAACCGAGTACCCAAAGTGCGTGCGAACCCCCAAATGTAATGTATGCGCAGCCATAAATCCTTAGATTCATTTGAACTGCCCGGATTTCCTGATTTCCTATGTTTGAAAATAAGTTAATGAATGAAGTGGCAACTTCAACCCTCAAACAAGAAATGCTCTATCTTGCACATTGGCAAAAAAAAAAAATAAATCAAAACATAAAATACAAATTAGATGGACATGACCTTATAGATGACCCCCACTCTGTCAAGGACCTTGGAGTACTCATTTCTAAAGATCTAAGCGCCAGAGCTCACTGTAACAACATTGCCAAAAAGGCATTAAGAGTTGTTAACCTAATCTTGCATAGCTTCTTCTCTGAGAATGTTGTACTACTATCTAGAGCATACAAAACCTTTGCTAGACCAATTCTCGAATACAGCTCATCTGTCTGGAACCCCCACTGTATATCGGACATAAATACAATCGAGAGAGTCCAGAGATATTTTTACGAGTCCTCCATTCCTCTAACCGCAATAAAATACCTTAGGCCACCAGACTTGAAATGTTGGTCTTAAACAACTTAGAACTACGCCGCCTTCGGTCTGACCTAAGCGTAGTACATAAAATTATCTGCCACAATGTCCTTCCTGTCAATGACTACTTCAGCTTCAACCACAACAATACACGAGCAAATAATAAGATTCAAACTCAAGGTAAACCGCTCCAAACTCGATTGCAGAAAATACGACTTCAGCAACAGAGTGGTCAATGCCTGGAATGCACTACCTGACTCTGTGGTTTCTTCCCCAAACCCCCAAAACTTTAACCTTAAACTGTCTACTGTGGACCTCACCCCATTCCTAAGAGGTCCGTAAAGGGGGTGTGCATAAGCGCACCAGCGTGCCTTCCGTCCCTGTCCTACCGTCCCCATTTATTCGTATCCATTTCCTGTGTTCATAATCGTGTTTATACTTATATATGTTATCTTATATATGCTTGACAAATATATATATATATATATGGCTTGCAAGTTTTGGCGAAGCCAACTATTCTGGCTTGGGCAGCAGAGGGCACAGCAGACCCAAAGTGAGTTTGATTCCTGTCTCGGGCACAAAGCCAGCTGAGTGATTTGGACGGGTCCCCTGTCTCAGTCCTAGGAAGGAGGCAGCAAGGGCAAACCACTTCTGAAACTCCTTGCCAAGAAAACTGCGGGAACTCATCCAGTCTCCAGGTATACACAGACGCATGAAGCAATTTCCTGACAGTGAGAACAATTAATAAGTGGAACAACTTGCCTGCAGAAGTTGTGAATGCCCCAACACTGGAGATTTTGAAGAAGAGGTTGGATAACCATTTGTCTGAAGTGGTGTAGAGTTTCCTGCCTAAGCAGGGGGTTGGACTAGAAGACCTCCAAGGTCCCTTCCAACTCTGTTATTTTATTCTATTCTAAGACAGAGGAATCCGTTTTGGGGGGAAAAAAGGGGGGGTTAATTTAGAGATGGGAAAAGTTGAGAACGCTACTTTAGAGA